ATTTGGACTTAGACATCAAAAGGTACTGTTGGTCCTCAACAGAAACTTAGAAATTGAAGGCAGGGCAATGATCCTTCACCAGCTTAGTAGGAGGACATGCACATCAATTTGGCTCTGCATTTTTTTTCCTTTCGTTCTTTTTTGGCATGACACAGGATTGTTGCATTACACTAACCCAGCGAACCTAAATTCTCATGCAGCTTCCGGTGAGCCACCCCTACTTCTAGCCGTGTCAGTTCACCGTGCAGCAAGAGCGGCTATAAAAGAAGCCAGAAAACAGCTCCTTTCTTGGAGCGGTCATGACGAGTCTAATCCGATATTCCAGCTGGCTGTCCCCGCAACAATGCCGGTTGTGAAGGGGCTTTGTGGGCTAAATAGTGTGGAGAGTTACTTGGACTGGAGATTAGGGAAGGAGCGGAAAGTATGAGACCAACCTGACCATCTCCTTCCCTACCACATGTACCAAAAGAAGATAAGTATATTCAGTATACAGTAGATCTCTGAGATAGTACATGGTTTCTTGTAAAGGATGTAATGTAACTTTCTTCTGCCAAAGTGTCTTGTTAGGATTCAGCGCACAAACGCAACGAAATAGTGACTAAATGCGAGAAAGAGAAACCAAGGCACAAGATTTATCCTGAATCATCCTAGAGCTACATCTAGCAAAGTATTCTACTATAATTAGCATCTCTCACATCTCTATTTCAGCGCTTAATCGGAAAGTGAATGCATTACTTTCCCACTTCAACATCGTTGCTGAACAAACTTCCTTGTATCTTGCAAACCCCGTGACCAATTCATTTCACCTAAATCCTAAACTTGTCATTGACTGTCGGGTTAATTATCAGGGATTGTCTAGTTAACATTCCTAATCTTGAAACTAGTAGATAACTCGATCCGGGGAAGGCATGTGACGAAGGAAAAAAACGGCAACATCGTCCGAGAATGCACTTTGAAAAGCTGTGAATCCGAGTTCTTTAATCTGGCAATGGAAAGTGAACAATTTATTAACTAGGGCACGGTTTTAGTAGCCAAAATCATTCTCTAATAGCAAAATTACTAGGACTAATATCATAACGAAAGGCTCTCTTTATGAGCGATATATACTTTCTGCCACTAAATTACTCTTAACGTGACTTTTGTTATAGCCAAGAAACCATGGATAATTATAAATTAGATAAAAGAAGAAAAAATATATTTCGTGATCTTTTTATCTCAAAATCGATTAGTCGGTGTAATAAAATCAAAGACGACTTTTTATAGTTAACGTTCGAATGGATTTTATATTAATTGGAGTTTATTCCACAAAAGAAAGTACATGGCGAGAATGAACACATTATGAGTAAAAACAATCTTACCTATAGTTCTTCTAGTACATATATAAAGCGGAATAAAACAAAATTCTCATGCTGTTTAATAAAAAAAAAATACAGTAACATATTTACCCTAATTTTTTTTTTTGTGATGCCTGAACTTCCAAATTTGTACTCGTGTGATACACTTACCCTCCATTAAAATTCTGTCAATGAGCATCTTAAAAAATCTCTGCTGGACGACGGAAGGCAACCGGTGTTGGCATAGTGCCACTTTGCTTAAGTAAAATAAAAATGACGTCGTTTTGGTTATAATATCATGTAACGTAGTCTTGACGGATGGTAAATGTATCACACAAGTACAAGTTGGCATTTTTTGATGTCACAAACAAAAGTTTATGATAAATGTGTCGTAATGAGCATAATTTGGGGGTTTTTTTTTTATGGTTATTCCCCATATCCATGGATCCGATGGGGGTTTTTATGGGAGTATATAGCTAGATGTGATATAAATCTAAATATATGAGGGATAAATGAAGAGTATTGGAATGTGAAGGTTGTAATGGCTTTTGAGACTAATGTCAATTGAGTCACGAATTTTTTTAATTTTGTGAATATAGTCTTAAATCTTTACGAGAAATTTCAAAGTAGTTCTCCCAATCCATTGCTGCCGAAAATCACTGACGTGGCATTTAGTCATCGCTAGCCATTCTACATGGCAGAATGACGTGGACAACTTGAGGATCATCGTGTCAGTGATTTTCAGCAACAATTGGGCGAAATGACTACATTGAAATAATTCGCTCAAAGATTTGTGACCGAATTGACATCCATATAATAAGTTTTGAACTAAATCGGTAATGTTTCATTTCGAGAATCATGAATCTTCTCTCAAACTTTTTAGTTTTGTTGGAAAAAATTAAACTTTTATTTGAAAAGGAAAAAACTCATAAATTGCATTTTATCTTTAAAAAATAAGTCAAAAAACTGATATTAGGACAGACTTTCTCCTCCGATGCACATGTAATACATGTTCATGAATAAACATGCACATTAAATGCACTCAAAGTCAGCTTTAATATAATATATTTAGCTATAATGACATGATGCAAAATTTAAATAGAAATCTGAATAATTTCCTCTCTTTATTTTGCCAACTCAAACGATTAAGTGGAACGGAGTTATAAATTGCATAACGTGGCATGATTTAACATGTTATAGCCCTCATTCACTGACCAAGAGTTGGGTTGTAATAATATTAGAAGCATTGGCTATGGTTGAAGAAAATAAATCAGAAGTAGAAAGAGCAGGTGAGGATCACGTGACTCACGTGACCAGTGTTCATGAAAGGGAGATGGGTTCGACCTTAATCTGTGGAACTTCTGCAATAAAGAATGACTAGCTAATAGCTATTACCAACATGAATAATGCTAAGATCATCGCCAGATTTGGCATTTGCAGAGCTAGACTTTGAGGGCTCAGTTGACTTAGGATCCATGGACAACTCGGCTCATCGGTAGGGGAGGTGGAAAAGAATAACCAAAACGGGTTTCAAGTTGGTCTCGGAATAAGTTGCAATAAGCTTTTCTTAGTCCTGCGGAAGTGCATAAGAAACGGCCAGAAGGTGGAAGATGCTGGGATATGAGTGCGGCTACTGCAGTTTGAAGCATACTTCAGTCAGTGCATTCTTATCGTGCGTAGAGCTTACCATAAGGAGGAGAAGTGATCAGAAACATGATGTGCCTTGACAAGTAGCAAAAGATTTAATGATCATATCAGTTCCTAGCGGTAAGATTCGTAATGGGTATTGTTATAATTATTCCTAGGAAAATTGGGACATGTTTTTTTTTGGAGGGGGTCAAAGTTTGGGACATGTGAGAGAGTGAGAGAGAAGCAAACGAGAAGCCCGGGACTTCTCTATTTAAACCCTCACCTCGTGGCTTCTAGTTCACAGTGTAGAGAAAGTTCTCCCAGCTAGTAAGTTCAACACGCAATCACGTGCTTCCCATTTCATGCCTTTGTCTCTTACCTCTTATTTTGATCCACATACTTTCGCCACTTGAAATCTGGAAATGGACGCCAGTTAAACTAAGCTTGATCGTGTTCCAAAAACCTATATTAATCCAGACACTAAGCATAAGAAAACTTCTTGAATTTGTACACGCATTTTAATGAACGCAAAGTGATCACTATGAAATTTGTTGGAAGAGGGGAAAAGACCAGTCTATTTACCTTGATGAGACGTGATTGCGATCATGACCACGATCCGCCAAAAATAGAGCAAGAGAGGGTGGCGTCGAGCGAGAGGGATGGGACTTAGGCGATATGACTTAGGTGAGATTTACCTTGGTGAGAGGGTGGCGTCAGGGCGAGAGGGCGGCATCGAGGTGAGAGGGCGTGATTGAGAGTGAGCGTCGTGAGCATCAAGCGAGGCTGTGAGAGGCGTGAGAGTGAGCGACCGAGCATCATGATTGTAAGTGTGGCCGATAGATTTGCGATGCTCAATCTATCTGTTAGGGTTTGTGTCTTGTGAGCGAGAGGCCGCATTAGGGTTTGTAAACAATTTTTAGGTTTGTAAATATAAATAAATAAAAAGAACAAAAATATTTGGTCCAAGTAGTTTGGATGGGTAATTGCCCAAAACCGATTCGGTTCGGTTCGGTTCGGTTCGGTTTAGGGAGTTTTTGATTTGGGCGGTTCCTTTTGATCATTCATATCACATATACCCCTAAATCAATATTTGTGTCACAAAAAATCTAAAATCTAACCATTGGTTATCCATGCCACATTTACTTGCAAATTAATTTTCTTATTACAAAAAATCATGATTTTTTGGGCAAATATGCCACGGGCATGCCAATTTGTAGTAAATGTGGCACGGGTGTATTGGTTTGAGATTTTCTGTAACACGAAAATTAGTTTGGATAAATATGGTATGCGTGTACTATTTCGGGAATTTTTCTGATGCGAAAATGAGTTTGGGGTAAATGTAAGAGAAAAAATTATAAAAAATAAAAAATTATGTTCATTGTGACACATTTACTCTAAAATTTCTTTTGCGACATAAAATATATTTACTATAATACATTTACCTTAAACTTTCTCTTCTAACATCAAAAACTCTAAACTTGTACCCACGTGACACATTTATCATCCATAAAGATTCAGTCAGATGATTTTTTTTAACTAAAATGACATTGTTTTTGTTTCACTTTAAGTAGCGTAGGCTCTATTGTCAATATAGTTTGTTTTCCGCCATCCATGAACGTAGATTTTTAACGGTAAATGTATTCAACGTATATAAGTTCGGGATTTTTGATGTTACAAATTTTTTTTTAGGATAAATACGTTAGAATAGGCATAATTTAGATTTTTTGAAGACTTATTCGCTAAACGTGGTATAATCGTACGTGTTTCAGATTTTTTTTTTTTTTGACATTAGCTGTACTACGATTGCACTTTTTATGCCATTCGACGGTTGAGATTATCCCACTAATAAAGTAACTTTTCTTTGTTGACTAGTATCATCCGAAGATTTGACGGTCGATGGTGCATCAAGGTATTATGTTGTGCTGCAGAGCAGTGCCGCAGGAAATTGCCGTCTGGCCTGCCACGTGTCTTCGCAGCCTTTCTTGGTTCGCTGTCATTTTTCAATGTTCCGCTCGCTCACTCAAACTCATGCGCACGTCCTCCGAAAGAAAGTCAAAGAAGAGGAGACAACTTCAGCTTTGCGACCGATCTGCAGCACCTTTTGCAAGTTTCCCTTCTTATCAACGCGGGTTAAAGATAGGAAGGATTCCTAGGACGGCGCGTCATCTTTTTTGGCAGCTTCTGTGGCGGCTCGGGGTCCTGCCTTGATGAAGATAAACAAAGTCAACAAGAAACGGTGAGCACTGAAGCTTGTGGTTGCAGAGTCCGCAGTGGCCCCCCTCGCGAGATGGAGGGGAGAGAGGCCGAGCCCGCCGACGGGGTTCTCGTGTTCGCTGTCAACGGGGAGAGGTTCGAGGTCTCGGGCATCGACCCCTCCACCACTCTGCTCGAGTTCCTCCGCACTCGGACTCGGTTCAAGAGCGTCAAGCTCGGTTGCGGTGAAGGTGAGCCTCCGATTCGAGTGTCTATGCTTTCGTTTGTTCAGTGAGCTAGAGCTCGTTCGCGTGTTGGTGGGTTTTTAGTTATATTGGGAGGGCTCGTTGTTTTGCTGGTTCGGTCTGTGTTCTGAGATTGAAGTGGTTAGTGGAGACAATATGTGTTGTGTGTTCGGGTGCTTCCTCTCTAGTCTCTACTTTTGTTGCTTATTGAATTTCTCCGGATGTCATTTGGTTCCGGAGGCAAAATTTATATTGGAGCTCACAGCATCGGAGTCTTTACATGTTCTTTTTCTTTATTTTGGTATGTGGTATTGTTATGAAGAGTATTGCATCACCAAGTATGATGGACACGAGCTTTTACAATTTTGGGTTTTGCAGGTGGCTGTGGTGCTTGTGTTGTCCTCTTGTCCAGATATGATCCTGTGCTTGACCGAGTTGAGGACATCACTGCAAGTTCATGTCTCACCCTGCTATGTAGTGTAAATAGATGCTCTATTACAACTACTGAAGGGCTTGGGAACAGCAAAGACGGGTTCCACCCGATCCACCAAAGGTTCTCCGGCTTCCACGCCTCTCAGTGTGGCTTCTGCACCCCTGGGATGTGTATGTCGCTCTACGGTGCGCTGGTCAATGCCGAGAAGACGGACAGGCCTGAGCCTTCTCCAGGATTCTCCAAACTGTCCGTCTTTGAGTCTGAGAAGGCTATCGCAGGAAATCTTTGCCGCTGTACCGGGTATCGGCCTATAGCTGATGCTTGCAAAAGTTTTGCGGCTGATGTCGATTTGGAAGATTTGGGACTCAATTCTTTTTGGAGAAAGGGGGATAGTGAGGAGTTCAAGATGAGTAGGTTACCTCCGTATTGCCGCAAAGATGAGAAATGCACGTTTCCCAAGTTTCTGAAGAAAGAAATAAAGTCTTCTGCGGTCTTGGATGCTAAGAGGTATGACTGGTATACTCCGACCACTGTTGAAGATCTTCGATGCCTGTTGGAAACTGATGGCACCAGCGATGCTTCCCTTGTAAAACTAGTCAGTGGAAACACGGGGATGGGTTACTATAAGGAAGTCAAGCGATGGGAGAAGTACATTGATCTCAGGAATATTCCTGAGCTCGCCATTGTCAAAATAGATGAAACAGGAATTGAATTTGGGACAACTGTGACAATTTCTAAGGCTATTGAAGCATTGAGGGAACACAGCAAGTGTATGCCATCCACAGAGGGTGGAATGATATTCAGAAAAACTGCTGATCACATGGAGAAAATCGCTTCAGGCTTTATCAGGAACACAGCTAGTCTGGGAGGAAATTTAGTGATGGCGCAGAGATTTCATTTCCCTTCAGATATTGCTACTGTACTTCTCGCTGTAGATTCACAGGTGACTGTAATGTCCGGACCCAAGCAAGAAAGGCTTACATTGGAGGACTTTTTAGAAAGGTCTCCGTTGGATTCCAAAAGTGTACTTTTAAGTATTAAAATCCCAACTTGGCACTTGAGAAAAAGTAAGGCTTCTGAAGCCATGAAAAGACTACTTTTTGAAACATATCGAGCTGCACCGCGACCTCTTGGGAATGCATTGCCCTATTTAAATGCAGCTTTCTTGGCTGAAGTTACTGTTAGTGAGGCTCTTCATGAAATTTTCATAAACAATTGTCAGTTAGCTTTTGGTGCTTATGGGACTCAACACGCTATACGAGCAAGAAAGGTCGAGGAAACTTTAACTGGAAAAGTGCTGAGCCTGAGTGTATTAAGAGAGGCAATTGAAGTAGTTAAAGCTACTATTGTGGCAGACTATGGAACAAGGGATCCTGCTTACAGGTCAAGCTTGGCTGTTGGCTTTGTTTTTAAGTTCCTTAGCCCCCTTGTTGAGTCTAGGGCTAAAACAGTCAATAATGGTTTACATGGTTACAAGAGTGCGATTTCGGCTGGGGAACCCAATCTAACTCAGGAACACGGGGAGTTTCCACATAGCCAAATCTCTTCCTTGCTATCATCAGCAAGTCAGGTTGTCGAACTGAATAAAGATTACTATCCTGTTGGAGAGCCAATTAAAAAATCCGAAGCAGCCATTCAGGCTTCTGGTTCGTTCTTTCTCTCTCTCTCTCTCACTATATTGGAAGTTTAAACAGCAATAATTACCAACGAGAGCTTTTGCACCCTTAATTATCAGGTGGAGTTGACTCATTTAGTTTTTATATTCAGTTGCCAATTAATCAATCTTTTTCAGCAGTGTAGCACCGGATATCTTTTGGTTAATCATACCACTGATTATTTGATCAACTAGCACTGTCTGGAAAGATTTCTAATATTTCTTACAAATGGAAGAATTATCTAATCTCTTCATTCTCAGAATTATTGCTGCAATCTTCCTGTTAAAAGATAAGCACAATCTCCTATGTAGGTGAAGCTGTGTATGTTGATGATATTCCTTCACCAGCAAATTGCCTATACGGGGCATTCATATACAGCACCAGGCCTCTTGCACGGATAAAGGGTATCAGAATACCATCTAGTGTACCATCTAATTCTGTCTACTCAATCATTTCCTTTCAAGACATTCCAGATGGTGGACAGAATGTAGGATCAAGTACCATATTTGGTTTCGAACCTTTGTTTGCTGACGAGCTCGCTCACTGTGCCGGTCAGCCTATTGCCTTAGTGGTAAACCAGTTACTTATCTTGCAATCACCTCCTTGCTTTCATCAGATATAATGGAATGTGGATTCAACTAAACTTATATTTGTTGCGATTGCTCTGCAGGTAGCCGACACACAGAAACATGCTGATATGGCTGCAGACTCTGCAGTGGTTGACTATGATGTGGATAGTTTAGAAACACCCATTTTATCGTTAGAAGAGGCTGTTGAGAGATCTAGTTTCTTTGAGGTGCCTTCTTTCCTTTACCCCAGTGAAGTTGCGGATTTATCAAAGGGAATGGCTGAAGCGGATAACAAAATTCTTTCTGCAAAGGTACTTCAGTTCAGATATTTAGCCATTGTCTTCTTCACTTGTTCCATCGTTGCTATTAGCAAGATTTTCTTACAGGGGACTCATTTTTTGAAACTAGGTCAATTAATTGCTATATATGCAGATTGAACTGGGATCACAGTACTACTTTTACATGGAGAACCAGACTGCACTAGCTGTACCGGATGAAGATAACTGCATGGTCGTCTATAGTTCGAGTCAGTGCCCTGAATATGCACACAACACAATTGCAAGGTGTCTTGGCATTCTTGGACATAATGTTCGTGTTATTACGAGAAGGGTTGGAGGAGGGTTTGGTGGAAAAGCTATAAGGGCCATGCCGGTGAGTGTATAATATAATCATCTCTATTTGGTACTTCTGCATGGTAACATGTAAGGTTTATGTTTTATAGTAAAAGAGGAACAGAATCATTGCATAATTGAAGAGGGTCCTGGATTCAAGAGACTTCGCATACTTTTCTACCATAATTTGGAGGATGTTGTTCTCTTTTTTCTTCTCCCAAGTCAAGTTAATCTGTCTTCTCTTGACAATGCTCCCAGCTTTCACTTATGGGTGTAGATAATTTCAAACTAAATAACCATTGCAGTCCTAAAACTTGCCTTTAGCGATCAATTCTCTTTGGTAGAACTCTATCAATAAATGAGGTTACATTACAAGTCCTTATCTGTACTTATTTTACCTAAATTAAATAATGCCGTGGATTTATTTATTTGCAGTAGTAAAAAAATTCAGTTTACCATCGAGGTTAGAGGACAAGAGATATACATCTATGGCATGGTTTTTCTGCAAAATATTTTGTCGATATTGGCATTGCTGTTGGATTTTCTGGGGATTGACACACAAAGGACTAATTTCATTTCTGCTAAAATATCTTGCTGATTTTGGCATTGCTGTAATCTTTGGGTCTTCTGGTGATCAACACACAACGCGTACTAATTTTAGTTCTACGTGTTGGACATTTGTGTAGCATAAGTACCTTCATTTGTTTGATATTTCTTTTTCACTTTTCAGCACTAAAAAAGGAATCAGTATCCAAATTTATCATTGCAACCTGAAACTATGATTTGAGTTAGAAACATCTCTATGATGCTGATGTTTTGTTGTTTGCTTCTACAGTATCTGCTTACATTTCTTTTCCATGTCGAGTTAAAAAAAGTCCTACTTTTAGCTTTCACTGATCGCTTTTGTAGTACCACTTCTTTTATCCAAAAGAAGTTCAAGCAGGGATATACATATATGTGCAAATTTGCTAGTTGATTTCCTCCTAAATCTCTGCTGGACTATATCTTACTCTACATTAGCTACATTTGGTTACATGTTGTTAGCTCTAGGTATGGGGTCTTAGCACTGTAAGGCTTATATTTGATTTATTGTTGATGGATCTATGATGTTTTTAGGTCGCTACCGCATGTGCACTTGCAGCTCATAAACTGCGGCGCCCGGTAAGGACTTATCTCAACCGCAAAACAGATATGATTATGGCAGGAGGACGGCATCCCATGAAAATAACTTACAGTGTTGGATTCAAGTCCAATGGCAAGATTACAGCCTTACGACTTGACATATTACTAAATGGAGGATTATCTACTGATATAAGTGTAGTGATGCCACTGCATATGGTTGATGCTATTAAAAAGTACGACTGGGGTGCTCTATCATTTGATATAAAGGTATGCAAAACAAACCATACAAGTAAGTCAGCAATGAGGGCTCCAGGAGAGGTTCAAGGGACATTTATTGCCGAAGCCGTGATTGAGCATGTAGCATCTACCCTTTCCATGAATGTAGATTCTGTGAGAAACATTAATCTCCACACTCATAGCAGCCTTAGCTTGTTTTATAAGCATGCTGCGGGAGAACCCCAAGAATACACATTACATTCAATCTGGACTAAGCTGGCCTTGTCTTCTAATCTAGACCAAAGGATTGAGATGGTAAAAGAGTTCAACAGAAGTAGCTTATGGAAGAAAAGGGGCATTTCCCGAGTACCTATAGTGCATGAAGTGGCATTGAGAGCAACCCCTGGTAAGGTGAGCATTTTAAATGATGGATCTATTGTTGTTGAAGTTGGTGGAATTGAGATTGGCCAAGGGCTGTGGACAAAGGTAAAACAGATGGTAGCATTTGCGCTTAGTTCAGTCCAATGTGATGGAACTACAGAGCTCTCGGAAAAAATACGAGTCATTCAAGCTGATACGTTGAGCCTTATTCAAGGCGGTTTTACAGCTGGAAGCACCACGTCTGAAGCAAGCTGTCAAGCTGTTAGAATTTGTTGTGATATTTTGGCTCAAAGACTCTCGCCACTTAAAAATAGTTTACAGGAACAAATGGGATCTGTTACATGGGAGGTTTTGGTTGGTCAGGTAACTCTATTTGCTAATAGTTACTCTTTTACCTCTAATCACTTAGCAGCCCAAATCTGTGTACTCCCTTTTACATTCAAGTATTGTCAATCAACATGTCCATTTTATGGTGCTGAGTCAACCTCTCTGTTTTATGTGGTTACTTGCAGGCGTACAACCAATCTATTAACTTATCAGCAAGTACGTATTATGCTCCTGAGATGGACTCCATGCAATATCTGAACTACGGTGCTGCTGTGAGCGAGGCAAGTTGTCTGCTGACACGCAGTATTTTCTGTTCAATTTAATGGATCATATCTTGATGTAAAACCACCTTACCTGGGCAGTGTTTCTTGTAAAGCCGTTAGACATAATATGTAGTGTTTCAGAATGAAGCATACTACCCTATTTGCTTGACTGTAGATTTTCAATGTCGTCTGAATGTGACTGAAATTTTGGCGCCTCAGGTTGAGGTAGATCTTCTGACAGGAGAAACCAGAATCCTTCGGGTAGATATCATCTATGACTGTGGAAAGAGCCTCAATCCTGCTATTGATCTTGGACAGGTTATGCTAACAGCTTAAACCTGATAGTGCATCTGGCTTTATGTTATCTTGGCTATTGGGAAATTCATTCTACCTGCTGAGATTATGAACTGCAAAGTAGGACATCATAGATGAGAGGAACTGAAAGGGGAGTCTAAGAAAAAAGGACAGACTTAGTCTTTGGAACATGAATTGCTATATTGGCATAAAAGCACTTCATTAATATTTAAACCTATTGTTAACGCTTATTGTCATCATGAAGAGGTGCTTGATGCCATTGACCTGTGATTAAAGCATCTTCTATCTGCTTCAGGCTTTAAATCTATTTCAAATAGAATTAACATGACATGTGTTCGTCTTTATCTTAATTAATAAGGTGCAATTTTTTGATATCAGTCCCTTCAACTCAAATAATAAAAAAACCAAGGACATCAGCTAAAACATATTCTGAAGAAAAGGTCACAAGGATTGTTTTAATTCGAATTAACTCTTTTTGCTGACTCTTTTTTTGAATTCATTATTGCAGATAGAAGGTGCATTTGTTCAGGGACTTGGGTTTTTTATGCTTGAGGAGTACCTGACAAATTCAGAAGGTCTGGTGGTGGCAGACGGCACATGGACATACAAAATCCCAACTTTAGACACTATACCAAAAGAATTTAATGTTGAGATCCTTAATAGCGGGCATCACCAGAAACGAGTTCTCTCTTCCAAAGGTATAATTGCTTTTCTTCATCTAGCAAGAAGTATGCAAAATATCGACGAGTGGTAGTGACTGTGTCGAAAGTTTCGTAAACGGTGGCGATCTGTCCGCTGAGTATAGGACCGTTATCTAGTTGGACTTAGGCATGAAAAGGTACTGTTGGTCCGCAACAGAAACTTACAAAATGAAGGCAGGGCAATGATCCTTCACCAGCTTAGTTGTTGGACATGTAAATCAATTTGTTGGATTATTGCATTAGACTAACCCAGCCGAACTTGAATTCTCATGCAGCTTCCGGTGAGCCACCCTTACTTCTGGCCGTGTCGATTCACTGTGCGGCAAGAGCGGCTATAAAAGAAGCCAGAGAACAGCTCCTTTCTTGGAGCGGTCATGACGAGTCTAATCCGATATTCCAGCTGGGTGTCCCCGCAACAATGCCGGTTGTAAAGGGGCTTTGTGGGCTAAATGGTGTGGAGAGTTACTTGGACTGGAGATTGGGGAAGGAGCAGAAAGTATGAGACCAACCTGACCATCTCCTTCCCTACCACATGTACCAAAAGAAGACAGAGTATACTCGTTACACAGCATATCTCTGAGACAGTAGATGGTTTCTTCTGAAGGGTGCAACTAACTTTCATCTCCTGAAGCGATTCTTGAAGAATCCTTCACAGGGAGGATGCTCAATAGTAAGTCGCCACGTGATGGAACTCCTTTGAATATACGACGGAAGAAGAAAGTCTGGTTTCGATTCGCTGCTGCAGGAGTCGGGTAGTTGTCGAGAGATCGCACTTTGCGCATGGAAAAGTCGCCACTGTGTATACGTCTGCCGGGCGACTTTCGTTCTTCAACGGGGCATTGACCTTTCTCATTGTATTATTCGCTTCACTAGTCTCCATAGATGCAAGGAGAATGCGAGGATAAGTTTTCCAATGAAATTGATACTTTTCTTTTTGCTCAACAAAACACGTTGCACAAACATTTTGCGGTGGTTAATCGAATTGATAAGGCGATTGAGCTTTCGCGTTTCAAGAAACATAGAATTTTATGAGAGCAAAATTTCGGTGATTGTCGCCCATATATCTTTTCCGGGCGATCTTTCTTATTTTTGTTTTCTGCACGACTTTTTGCAAGGAATCTCTTGGTAAACACGAAATTGGTTCGACCAAAAAAAAAAAAACACGAAATTGGTAAATAATAGGAGGAATCAAGCTATAAAATCACGTCTCCCGTTATATGTCTTATTGCAAGGAGCTTGAGAGGCCAAAATTTGGGGAGACGATGTCTCATCGTTCAGATATCTTTTTTGGGCAATTTTTTTTTTCTTTTTCAAATGAGATTCTATCCCTTTTTAGTTTTTTAATCTAATTTGAATAAGATTTGGAGAAAAAAAAAAGTCAAATAGGAGAGAGAAAATAATTAAAAAATGCCACATCGATATTTTCCGTTTGTTAAATTGACGTGTTAACGGAAGTACTTGATTGAATCAATTTGACAATATTTAAGACTTGATTGCACTTTTTGAAAGTTTTAGGACTCAATTGCACTTTTATAACAAGTTTTAAGACTTCTATAGTGCATCGCACTTCTTGAAAATTTTATGACTCGATTACACTTTTGCGACAAGTTTTAAGGCTTCTAATGTATTTGTTCCAAAAATCTAATGGTAGAACTAAATTTTGATAATTATTCAATCAGTCTTAAACCTATTGATACGAATGTTAATTCAATCATAAACTTCTAATTGTGTGAAGGTAGTCTTGAACCCTTTTATGAAATTCCAAAGCAGTCATTCCAATCAATTGCCGTCGAAAATCGTTGACGTGGCATCCAGTCATCTCCAGCTGTCCTACATAACACAATGATGTGGACAACTCGTGGATTGCCACGTCAGCAATTTCCGGTGGCAATTGGCCGAATGGCCTAGATTAGAATTTTGCTCAAAGATTTAGGCTACATTGGTAGAATTAAAAAAGTTTAAGAATAAATTGACATCCTTACAATGGGTTTAGAGCTAAATTGGTAATGTTTCCTATCGAGAATCAAAGGATCTTTTCTTAAACATTTTAGTTTTGTTGGAAAAGTTTAAACTTTTATTTGAAAAAGGAAAAGACTCATAAATTGCGTTGGTATTTGTCTTTAAAATATAATTAAAAAAACTGATATTAGGACAAACTTTCTCCTCCGATGCATAACAATACATATGTTGTAGTATAGATTTGGATATCTATATAAAAATTAAGGATTCAAAGGTTTTTTTAATTAAATTTATCTAGGTAGAAAAGAGATATTCTCCTCCTATGCGCATGTAATACATGTTCATTAAAAAAACATGCACATTAAATGCACTCAAAGTCAGCTTTAATATAATATATTAAATTGGATTAGACTACATATTACGAGACACCATTATTAACAATTTTTTTTAAGAATATAAGACTGCGCATGGCAACCATTCTGTACCAAGGAACAGATTCTGGTCAGAAATGATTCTTTTTTATTTTGTGCCCGGGAACAATTTCTAAACATTTGAAGGCGTTTGGTAACTGCCAAAAATTTCTATTCTTAGAATAGAAAAAGAACAGAAATGTGTTTGGTAACTACACAAAATTTCTTTTTATTAATAATATTTTAATAATATTTTGAATTTTTTAATATTTTTTTCCTTGGCCATGGCCAGCGAGGGCGTCACTGCCCTCGCCGCCGGCCTCGCCGGTCGCGACGGTGAGGTCGGCCTCGCCATGGTTGGGCGAGGCTTGACCTCGCCCAGATTTGGCAAGGCCGACCTCGCCGTCGCCACCCCCCCCGCGACGGCAAGGTCGGCCTCGCCTTGGCCGGGCGAGGCTCGACCTCACCTTGGCCGGGCGAGGCTCGACCTCGCCCAGATCTGGCGAGGCCAACCTTGCCGTCGTCGTCCCTGGCGACGGCGAGGTCGACCTCGCCAGATCACGGTGAGGTCGAGCCTTGCCCGGCCAAGGCAAGGCCGACCTCACCGTCGCCACCCCCCGTGACGGCGAGGTCGGCCCCGCCATGGCCGGGCGAGGCTCGACCTCGCCCAGATCTGGTGAGGCCGACCTCACCCAGATCTGGCAAGGCCGACCTCACCCAGATCTGGCAAGGCCGACCTCACCGTCGTCGGGGGCGGCGAGGGCCGACCTGGCCGTCGCCGGGGGCGGCGAGGGCCACCCTCACCGGCCCTGGTTGGTCGTCGGTGGACGGTCGCCAGTGGCCGATGACCGGCGGCGGGCCAGCAGTGGGCCGAGAAGAAGATGAAGAACAAATAAAAAAGAAAGATGAAAATCAAGAAAAATCAGTTCCGAAAAAATTGTTCCAGATTCAAGAAGCTACTTTTTTTTGCTTCTTGATTCTGTTGCAAAACTGATTCTGGGATCAATTTTATGCAAAATTGTGCCCGGGCACAAAAATTTTAACAAACGGATTTTTGTTCCCATACTGATTCTGGGAACAAAAGAACAGAAATTTTCACTATTTGGCGCATTGCCAAATGGGCCCTAAAAATGTATAATACGCGGAGCCACTTTTCATCCGCTAATTATAATACAAGAAAAGCTACAATTGCACTATATGCACATGCATAATTACAAAACGTGCATGTGGTGATGATATGATACAATTTTATGCTATGAGAGCATCAGAACGGGCCCTTGTGAAGAGAAACAATGTCTCTTTTCTTAATGTGTTCGTAAGTGATGAATAGCAGAAAAATTAGAAGTTGTTAAAGAGACTAAGCTCACATACGTCTTTTTTTTAGTTTTTTTTTGGGTCGAAAAACTCTTTAAGTACTTTCTTCGTGCGTTGCAAATTGATTATTGCATGGCGGATTGTAATGCATCGAATGTGGATCACATATTCAAAAATCTCGTGACATGGGGACTTGGTGCGCTTAGTAAATGTGCACATGCATAGCGCTTACCAAGATGGAAGACACAAGCATATGCTAACAAGTCCTTACGGATCTGGTTCACAAGATAAAAGAATTGAAACTCGACTATGCTATAGTGGCATGATGCAAATTTCACACAGAAACCTGAATAATTTCCTTTCTTTATTTTGCCAACTTAAACGATTTAGTGGACGGAGTCATATGCACTCGGAAGCCCAATTATAAATTGCATAACGTGGCACGATTTAACATGTTGTAGCCCTCGTCTTTTGGCCAAGAGTTGCGTAATAATAATAGAAGCATTGACTATGGTTGAAGAAAATAAATCAGAAGTAGAAAGAGCATGTGAAGATCACGTGAATCTGTGGAACTTCTGCAACAAAGAATGACTAGCTATTACCGACAAAGAATAATGCCAGATCATCGCGAGATTTGGTGTTTGCAGACTCAGATTTTGCTGTCTCAGTTGACTTAGGATCCATGTGCAACTCGCCTCATCGGTACGGTAGGTGAGGGAAAGAATAACCAAAATGGGTTCCAAGTTGGCCTCATAATAAGTTTCAGCAGGCTTTTCTCGTCTTAGATTATTGCGGAAGCAAAGGCCGGCCAGAAGGATAGATGCTGGAGATTAGTGCGAGTATTGCTGTTTATAGCATGCTCTAGCGGTCAACTCTTAACGGGTGTAGAGCTTACAAATGAGGCGGAGTGATTAGAAAACTGATGTCCCTTGACCAGTAGCAAAAGTTAATGTTCTCTGTTCCCGACGGTAAGATTCGTTAGGGGTGTTGTTATTATATTCGTGGTGATTTTGGACATGTGAGAGAGCGAGGGAGAACCAAAGCAGAAGCCCAGGACTTCTCTATTTAAACCCTCAACCTTGTGGCTTCTAGTTCACAGTGTAGAGAAAGTTCACCTAGCTAGTAAGTTCAATACGCATTCACTTGCTTCACATTTCATGCCTCAGTCTCATGCCTCTTGTTTTGATCAACGTACTTTCACCACTTCACATATTTGACACTCTTCTCTCACTTTGAACGAGATTATTTCCACGCAGCGTGCATCTCAGATCATTCGCATCAGTTGTGATGATGCCTGTTTGCTCTCTCATCTTTAATGGGTCCGATAGAGAATTGTCATGCTTAACGTAGCTTTTGTGCATTCTTTTTTCTGGAATTTTCACTAGTATTGTCCCGAATTATCAGGCTAAAAGGCGATATGGTTGGCGAGATTTTGAGACGCCGCGTACCCTTTGAAGCATTGCTGCTTTTGCTATGCTTCTGGGCTGCCTCAGTCACCGGATCGGAGTACATGAAGTACAAAGATCCGAAACAGCCGGTCAATGTGAGGATCAAGGATTTGATGAAGAGGATGACGCTAGCTGAAAAGATCGGCCAGATGACTCAGATTGAGCGGACTGTTGCATCAGCTGATGTTATAAAGAACTACCTCATAGGTAAAAGTATCAGTTTTTTCTTGATCGACATTATGAAAGCTTGGGGAATGTGATGAAAACCTCTCTCGTGGCCAGTTGTTTTGTCAATGAGGCTAGGCCACATAGTGAAGTCTAGTCTTCTATTTTTCGTGCTCATTTCAAGTCTATTAGTGGAAGTTATAGCTATTCCTTATCAGCACTGAATGTGATTGGTTCAAGCAGGGAGTGTCTTGAGCGGTGGCGGAAGCGTACCGGCCACAAACGCCTCGGTCGAGACTTGGGTGGACATGGTGAACGAGTTCCAGAGGGGAGCTCTCTCAACCCGTCTCGGCATTCCGATGATTTACGGGATCGATGCTGTTCATGGCCACAACAATGTCTATAAGGCAACTGTATTCCCTCACAACGTCGGCCTTGGTGTGACCAGGTATCCACCCTTATTCCTAGCCGTGTTGTCCTAATTCTTTACGCATTCCATTATCATTTCCATAGTCTTTAACAGGAGCAAAAAAGGTGTAACTTTGTATTTGCTCCGAATAATTCACTAAGGTAGTTTAATTCCTCAGGGACCCTCAACTTGCGAAGAAGATAGGAGCCGCGACGGCTCTAGAGGTCAGAGCCACTGGAATTCCCTACGTTTTCGCTCCCTGTATAGCAGTAAGAGAAATGATGGGCACTCATTTGTAATCTCTTTTCTTGGAAGTACCTTGCCGTATGATCATTTAATATTCCTTAAAACGTGCGAGTGCCAATTTTTCTTTCTCTGTATCACTGACAATCTCTCAAGTTGATTTCCCTTTATTGTATTTTTACAGGTATGCCGAGATCCTAGATGGGGTCGGTGCTATGAAAGCTATAGCGAGGATCCTGCGATTGTCAAGGCGATGACTGAGATAATACCTGGTCTACAAGGAGATATTCCTCCCGGCTCTCGAAAGGGCGTCCCTTTCGTGGCTGGAAAGTACGTGACTTAACCGAGTCTACGCATATTGAAATTACATTTCCAATGTTCAGGAAATGGTCGTATGACTGCATAGAAGTACTCTTTCTTTGCTGTTTCAAATCGACATGATATATGGTTCAAGCATAAGCTCTTTGCAATAGTTTTGTTGCATGAGTGATCTTTTCTGTGAGAATACGAGGTATCGTAACACTGAAGTCGTAAACAGCAAGAAAAACCTTGTGCAGCAAACCACATTCCAAGTTAGCTGATAAGTAAATTTTTTCTTTGAAGGCAAAATGTCGCATCGTGTGCTAAGCACTATGTTGGAGATGGCGGCACGACCAAGGGAATTAACGAGAATAACACGGTGATTGACTTCCACGGGCTCCTTAGCATCCATATGCAGGGCTATTTCAGCGCCGTGATCAAGGGCGTCTCCACAATAATGATCTCTTACAGCAGTTGGAATGGGGTAAAGATGCACTCCAACCATGATCTAATCACGGGTTTCCTCAAGAACAAGCTCAGATTCAGGGTAAGCATCAAACACAAGTATACAGCCCAGAGAAATCTCTTTTTTGCGTGAACATTTTGTCCTTATAGCCGTGGAACTTCTTATGTTTTAGGAAAATGCTTGAGAAGCAAGTAACATATTACTTTGTATGGCTCCAGGGGTTCGTCATCTCCGATTGGCAGGGTATCGATAGGATGACCCCCGTACCAGGCAGCAACTATACGTACTCAGTGCAAACAGGAATTCTAGCTGGAATTGACATGGTAACGATCCATTTGCTCCATGATGACTGCAAATTGTTTCACAAGTTAGTGAATATATGTTCTTCCGAAGAAACCTTGAGTATCACTCCTGAATAGTATCTTCTGACAATGCCATAGATCATGGTTCCCTACAACTACACCGATTTCATTGGCAACATCACAATGCTCGTGAACAAAAATTTCATCCCCATGAGCCGTATCGATGACGCTGTGAAGAGGATCTTGCGGGTGAAATTCACCATGGGCCTGTTTGAGAACCCGATCGCCGATCTAAGCCTGTCCCATCAACTCGGTAGCCAGGTGCGGCACCCAGAGCGCAGAGTCCGAAATTCCACTAATGAACTACCAATAGATTAACCGAACTAACCATTTAATATGTTGACAGGAGCATCGGGAGTTGGCGCGCGAGGCTGTGAGGAAGTCGCTCGTGCTGTTAAAGAACGGCAAGCCTGGTTATGAACCGGTGCTTCCGCTCCCGAAGAAGGCACAAAAGATACTAGTGGCCGGGACTCATGCTCATAACTTGGGATATCAATGTGGAGGTTGGACCATCACTTGGCAAGGCACTAGTGGCAATAACAATTCAGTAGGTAAAGTGTTGAACAACTTGAACTCGACTATTTTTCACTTGGTTTAAGTTATCATTGAGGTTGATTACAGAGGTGTAGAGAGAGTAGTCGGTGTTAGAAAGGAACTTACTGCTTAGCATAACTTGCACGTAATAATTACTCACAGGAACTACAATCCTGGATGCTGTGAGAAAGACTGTCGATCAGAGCACCGAAGTTGTGTACCAAGAGGAACCAGATGTGGGATTCGTTGAGTCGCGCAAATTCTCCTATGCGATTGTCGTTGTCGGTGAGCATTCTTATGCCGAATCGTATGGCGACAGCATGAACATGACGATACCCGAGCCCGGCCCAAGCACTATCAAAAATGTGTGCGGATCTGTCAAGTGCGTCGTCGTAATCATATCAGGCCGGCCAGTCGTGATCGAGCAGTACGTGGCCCAAATGGATGCGCTTGTCGCAGCTTGGCTTCCGGGGACCGAAGGCTTGGGCATAACCGATGTGCTTTTTGGTGATTACGGATTCACCGGCAAGCTCGCACGCACTTGGTTCAGGACGGTCGACCAGCTGCCGATGAATGTGGGCGATCCGCATTATGACCCGTTATATCCATTCGGGTTCGGTCTAACGACAATCCCGGCGAATGATTCCTGAATTCTGGTTTCCCTCTCAGGGTGAAAAACAACGATCTTGTACTCTTCGAACGAAAATAAAGGAAACAAATTCAGATGCTGCAGCAAAGGTCACTATCATCGTCGCAGCAATTTTGCTTCTACATCACGATTTTTCGCCAGCTGAACTTCATTAATCGACTGTGGAACAATTGATGAAATGCAGTCACTCTTAAGACTATTCATGAATTTCAATCTCACTGTTTCTGTAAGAAGTCTTCTTATAAATGTTCAGGGCGAGGCTTAATCAGCGACGGAATGAAAGAAAAGGTTGGAAGTGGATAAGAACCAAAACCAAATGTTAGGTGGATAGCTAAAGGATTAAGGATTAATTATGAAAGAAAAATTTTAAATATTAATGAAATTTTCACGTGTGGTGAATATTTTTGTTTGCCCTTTTTTTTTGTGACAACCACCTAACCATGAGCTTATAAGCAATGCTGACAATTCAGGGCACGACTTATTTGCACAGAACGAATATGACATGAGGTAAAATACAAATTACAAAAAGAAAACCCGAATATGATGTGACAGGATATGCCTCGTGCCTCGCAACTCTATCGTCGATCAATCCGGAGAGTGGGTCGCAATATGTTGATAAAAAAAAACAAGCTAAGAATACCGTTGACTGCTATACTAAAGAGGAGTATATATATATCTACCTAAAACTACTTTAACACGATAGAGTAAGGTACGTTATTAAACGTGAAAAGGGAAAATTTCTCGGTCGTAAATTTCGCACGAAAATTTAGGACTGAATCGACATCCGTACAATAGATTTAAGGCTGATTGGACAATTTCTACAATATGAAAATGACCTTTATTTGACTTCTCACGATATTACCTTCTCTAACCACCGTATTTTACATTTTAAAATCGTCAAGTTTGCATAGTGTTTTAGACAATTTGTAAAGTTATCTATTGAAGAGTTTATCAGGCATTTATTCCGCAATGGGTTTACCAGCATGTGGTTTAGGTGCATAATTCATGCTTTATTTTTACTCACGTAAGACGATGTTCCTTAATCCTTATAATGAAAAATAAATTATAATTCCGACTGAAACTATTTTATTCAATGTTTTTGCGGAATAAGTCTCGGGCAATATTTTATTTTCTTTGTTCAATAAAGTAAGAGATTCTTGGCTCGGACAATAATTTGCAAGAAATAATCGACAGAAGGCATGTCTCCAAATTAATTTTCAATTCGGGGGACTTGTTTCATCCACAAAAGGTGAGATCAAATATAATTCTTCATGTATAGTTGTCGAGAATCATTCATACATTCAACCGTCCCAGCAATTATTAAATTACAATGTCCGATCTAGAAAATCTGGGAAGGAATAACGGGAAAAGAAAATGTCGGGGACCCTTTTATTCAGTACGCCGGACTAGTGCGGCACTGACTTGCACAGATCGTCGAAGCACATGAATCTCATGAACGGCTCACTTAATAAACGGCTCATTCGAGTTGGACTCCGGGCCCGAGGCACTTACTAATTTCCCAAGGGTTTTGGTGTTGTAGACGGATGCGCAAGTAACTAGTGAGAGCATTTCGTTAGAAATTACGTATGCTCGAAACATGCTCGAGTTTCACATGCATGGGAAAAGTTCACGTTCCACCCCAAAGAGACTTCGAAATAGACTTGACAATTCGCGCTTTCCGTCCGTTCACAAAGTTGTCATTCTTCTTTCTACGGTGTAAAGTTTCAAATTATAAAATTCTAAGGGCCCGTTTGGCAACTTGTCAAGTAGTGAAAATTTATATTCTTTTATTTCTAGAATCAATTTAGGAACAGATATCCGTTTGTTAAATTTTTTGTACCCGGGCACAAATTTGTAAAAAATTGTTCCCAGAATCAGTTTTGGAACAAAATCAAGAAGCAAAAAAAAATAACTTCTTGATTCTTGAACAATTTTTCCATTTCTGATTCTTCTTGGTTTTCTTTTTTTTCTTGGTTTTGTTGTTCTTCTTTTTCCCGGCCTGCCGCTGGCCACCAGCCACAGGCCAGGGCCGATGAGGGCAGCCCGCGGCCGCGACAGCGAGACCTTGCCCAGCCATGGCGAGGTCGACCTCACCATCGCCAGCCATGGCCAAGGAATGGAAGGAAACAAAAAAGAAAAAAAAAGGAAAAAAAGAGAAATAAATATTAAAAAATTCAAAATATTATTAATAAAAAGAAATTTTGTGTAGTTACCAAATGCATTTATGTTCTTTTTCTCTTCTAAGAATAGAAAGTTTAGGCAATTACCAGACGCCTTTAAATGCTTATAAATTGTTCCCGGGCACGAAATTAAAAAGAATCATTTCTGAGCAGAATCAGTTCTCGGACACAGAATCGTTGCCATGCGCACCCTAACTCTAACATCATTTGGCGGCAAATCGATCATGTATACAACTTTTAATAAACCTAGTACCAATTCCGTATAACATTTGTTAACGAGTATTCTCAAAATACTTGTTAAACAGCAGAAACTAAAAAAAAATCTTCGGTTCTAATTGTTCACGTATTTTCGATATTACTATTAAAAGTGATCACTCTTTGAAATGTCCCGCTCGTTTTCAATTTAACCACATTTACTGTATGACGGGATAAAAAAAAGTCAAAAAATAAACCTCCACCGCCCTTTTAAACCTATCCATGTGCGGAATTACTGTTCCTCAAAAGCAATGTCATATTTCCACTACCCTTTTGGTTTTCAACTCGCGGTAAAAAAAAAAAACACTTTATTAAAACGCGTAATTTTTTTTCGAGTTTTCTTTTCGGTTGGAATGGGAACCGTACCGAATTCGGCTGCACCGAAGGGGCCCCCACTGCTTTCGTGGGTCGGACGGAGCAGGGCGAATTCGATTGGACCGGCGGAAGACAGAGATGTTTTGTCGGCAACGGTAACATTTGAGGCCGCTCTCCTGCTGCTTTTTCCCAGGGCATCGCTTTGCGTGCCCTGCCTCGGTCAGCAGATAAAACGTCTCTTGCCTCCCTCATCCTCTTGTTTGATTAGTCACAAACGTATCAATTTACATTTTTTTAATAATTAAAATATTAATTTGAAGTAAATTTATCATAAGTGTATTATCGGTTTGAGATTTTTTATGATCAAAAAATTAATTAGGGGTAAAATTATCACAAGTGTATAAATTTAGAGTTTTTATGGTATTAACCCTAGTAATTATTGGATAAAGAATTGCAATATTTAACAGGAAAAATGGAGAATTGCAAGATGTTCATTGCTTCGAGGATGACAATATTTAAAGGTATAACACGTCTTGGGATGCGCGATTCGCACACTGATTGTGTTTTTTTTTTTGGATAATCGTGATCTAAACTATTGTGAGTACTTTGTTGGCAAAAGCCACCAACATTTAAAAATTGTCTCAAACGCTATGCAATAAATGCAAAATATGATGATTCGAGTAGGTAATACAAGGAGAAGTTAAATATTAGAAAGATTGTTCAATCAATCTTAGATCTATAGTATGAATGCCAATCTAGCATTAAACTTTTCAATTTTGTAAATTAAGTCCTAATCTTTTGTGCGAAATTTACGACTAATTGGGTAATTTTCCATTTTCACATTTTATAATATACCTTACTCTATCATCTTAAGTTTTTTCAAGGTAAATATGTCATGGTAAGTATATTTTGGTGTTTTTGATGTCACAAAAAAATAGTTCAAGATAAATGTGTCACAGTAAGTATAATCTGGGGTTTTTTGTGACCTTTTTCCCGAAGAGAAATCATAAAAAAAGAAAGAAAAAAAAGAAGCTTGTTTTCTAATAAGACAATTCGAAATGTTGTACGGGAACAATTCACAGCATTAAGACAAGACAACGAATGTAAATGGATCGACTTGAATTGGATTCCCATCCCACCGATGTGTAGGGCTTATTTCTGGATTTCAAATCGCAAGACATGCTCGAGGTCTCATGTAGATCGGTTAAGAATTTGATTTATGGGTATCCCGAAATTCTGACCAGACTGACCATCTTACTAAAAAACCTAATGTATTCTTAAATAGATAATAGACTATCCAGTCAGCTGTATTTTGTTTTATATTGATATACATGCTTATTCAACATATTATTCAGTAAAAAATTAATTAGTTCAATCTTAAGTTGTCCTATTCTTATTCAAGACGAGTTCGAGACTTCAATTTGAAAGCCCTTATCTTGGATGGTGGGTGGGTTCGGGTTGTATTTGGAACGAATTGGATTCAAATCCGGAATACGGCCGTCCTTCTCAAACCGGTCCGGCTGCTATCCTTACACATGTCTAACCTACATAACTCATCTAAAAGAAAGACAAAATCGCCCATATGCAAAATTTAGACCATCGTAAGGTACATGATTTAGCGATTTTCCCATGCATACCTTTCGCGTGAAGATTTATCCTGTCCACTCCATTCCCCTTAAAAAAAAAATGTGAGATCTTGCATTGCAAATTCTAATCATGATTGATTCTCCGACATAAGCAGCAATTAAAGGCTAAATCCCGCTTCAACGTTAGCCGCGTCCTTTGACTCTTTCTCTCTCTCTCTCTCTCTCTCTCTCTCTCTCTCTCTCTCCAACGGATAGAGATTTCAGACAGGAGGCCCCAGGCTGGTGGAGCATTTGCAGGCCGAGGAAGTTTCACATCCAGAATTTAAAAAAAGTGAAAAATGAAAGCACAGTTGATTGATATCAAAACCACTTTGGAGCATGCGGAAAATGATTGAATAATGCACAGGCCTCCCCCCTTATAAGAAGTGGCGCTTTTAATCTCCCTTTCTTGACATCCCCAAGCCATCTCTCTCCGCCATCAAGGGACGTCTCTGTCACTCCACCACGCTAAACTCAAGACAGAGAGAGGGTGGGAGACAGACGGAGAGTAGAGGGGGAGAAGAATCCCGAACCCAAGTGGAAGAAAGGTCTTTCTTTCTTGGCTGTCTCTTGCATTACCTTGAGTATGTCAATCTTCATGCATCTCTGCTTCGTTTCTCCCCGTCTACATTCCGCCTTGTTATTGTTAGTAATGGGATGCATTTTCTTTTTGTTGCTTCCAGCTACGACCCAGAAGGCCGATTGGGGTGATG